CTAGGCAGGGGAACTCCCAGTTTCTTGTGTGGTCCTTTACGAGTGGAGACTTTATAGTGCACCAGCTGTCTTTTTTGCACCCCCATATATGTTACTCTTGATATAGTTGTTGACCAACGTCTATAATTTTATTGTCATCTTTAAGTTATGAACTTTCAGCTTGGTCCAAAACCATATCAAGGAGACCAACGAGATTAGGGTAACACAAGAATCTCTCTTAGAACTTGATATTTCGACTCATCTTCCTTAATCCCCCTATCCAGACAATTTCCTGAATCTTTTCATTCACATAATGAAATGATTTACGAGTTGCACCAACTATCCTCTGTGGTCTCTTAAAATCAATGTGTGAGTTTGTAGAGTTCTAATCTGTCATAACCCTTTCCTTGAGCGGGTGTTCTAGCAACCATTGCACGTCTATAACGTAACATTTTCTGTAAAAAATACAAAAAAAAACTATTTATTTATCAAATAAAGGTTGACTATATTTGATAAATAATACGTGTTATGGTTCAATAACAAAATTAGACTTATAACAATATACCAAGTTTGCATTTTTATTTTTACATCAAAAGAAAAAAATTACAATACTTCACGCGCCCCACGCGCCGTCTAGAAGCGGCAATGCGCCGACAGGAGCCCCATGCGCCGGCAGGAGCTTCCACGCGCGCCACGTGCTCACACAATAGGGTCGGGTCAACTCGTTTCACACTAAACGGGTCTATCCTGACCGAGTTGACTCGTTGACTTTGTCGGGTGTTGATCGGGTTTGACTGACCCGTTGACTTTGCGGGTCGGGCGTTGAACGGACTTGACTGACTGTTTGACTTTACGGTCGGGGTTTGACTCATTACCGGGTTTGACTAACCTGTTTGGTCATATGGGTGGGCCATGGGTCAACTTGACCCATTTTTTTATTTGGATTATGGGTTGGGCCAGATAGGGTATAATGGGTTTGTGAATATGGTTAACACCAAAACGAAATTAGTCCAGTGGTTAGGGTATTGGGCTTCAACCATGGAGACTTGAGTCAAGTCTCACCACCCCACGCCTATTTGAATTTTTTTCAAAAAAAACTAACAGGATAAAAAACGACATGTCATTCATAGGGTGGATCAAAAACGACGCGTCGGTTTGTGTTATCTTCAACCTCTGTGGGTCTGCAATTGGGTACCCGACCGAAACTTCAAAGGGCATATCTAAGTCATTTTAACTCCATTTTTTATGATCAAAACTATTTTCTTCTAATTCATAAGGAATTTAATGTCTAATATCATTACTAAAGACAACTTTTACGTACAAAATTTGAAAAAAATCAGACTGCATTTGACAAACCAATAAAATGCTTCAACATTCAGTATGATTCAAACAATATGAACCACGGCTCTGATACCAATGTTGGAAATAACATAGATAACATAATCCTAACATTATCCCAAGATCATAGTCACCATTGCAATCCATGTACATAATAATACTCAATGAATTAACACAGCATAAATACCTTATTTCTTATCTCTGAAGCAACAAAGTAATCTGGAAGAAAAAACACAATCGTATTTCTGTTTTCCAAATTCTGAGAAGAAAGCGTATATTTTTGCGTTTTTTGGAGTAACAGTCTTGTAACTCAAAGAAAGACTTCTTTTATAAGTAGCGGTTAGAGAGAAAATGCATTTGGCAGTTTCATTTCACACAAGTCGCTTGGGGTACCCATCATGGGTGTACCCCTTATCTAATATTTTACAATTTCTTTTAAGACACTGGCAGCTTCAAGTTATTGTGTGATTTCTTGAAGCTTGTAGGCACCTTGCATAATTGTACCACAGCTATATGCGATAGGATTAAGCAGTCTGCGGAAGGGGCTATTCAAGCTGTCATTGAGTTTGTTACAAAGAGGGGGCTGAGCTGAGTGAAACTGATGTTTCAAGGTTTTTCTTAAAAATATTGATGAGTTCTGAACTGATCTTTAAATTGCTGAACGCATATGGGAGAGAGGGAGTAAAATTTTATTAGTAAAGCTGATTACACTGGTCACCAGGACTACTCAACTTTGCTCTCTGCTGCAGCCATGTGACCGAGAAACATTTACGGTTGGAAACTCTTGGGGCTGTATCTTTATATGTATATTGTAGTTAGAATAATGGTGCTTAAGTGTGTGTTTATTTCTGCTTGTAGCTTGATTCAACGGTGAGTTGCCTTCCTGTGGTATTGTATTTTGTTTAAATCCTTAACTATAAGCAGATTTCTCTCTAGCAGAGAACACCAATTCAAAAATGTTTTCAATGAAGTATTGGCTACTGCTGGAAGGGATATAGTCACAAAGGACATATCTGACTACGTGGTGGCTGGCCCGTAGGATGCCTCTATGTGAGTCCCATTAGATATTAAATTGGAAGACCATTTCGTAATCTTGGATAGTTTCTTATCAAAAACTACCTAAAATAACGACTATGCAATAAGTTTCCATGGAGGCAAGTGAAGAAGGTGCGAAATAATATGAAAAAAACACAGTGAACGAAGACGAAAGAAGAAGAGAAGAAGAAAGGTATTAGAATGTTTTTTTTTTTTTTTTTAAGTATGGTTAATGGACGACCGTCCAAATTTAAGGGACGGCCATCCAAAATTTATGGACGACCGTCCCCAATTTTTTTTTTTTTATTTCATATTTTGGTTAGGACGGGGTCCTTTATTTACAGACGCCCGTCCAAAATGAAGGGACGGCCGTCCATAACGGGATGAACGACCGCCTAATTTTTGTAAAAAAAATTTATTCCATTTTACTTATGGACGGGCGTCCTTAAATTGGGGACGCCTGTCCTGGTACCCCCGTCCATGTAATATGGACTGCCGTCCAGTGAGTCAACGGTCGCCAAATTGGTGGACGACCGTTCATTAGAAAACAATTGTTTAAAAAATCAGAAGCGTGTTACATGTAGGCCGGGTACAATTCGGTGCAGGTTTTCGGGTGTCTGTAGCATTATTGAAACTTAAAAAAGAAAAATGATGAGATGAAGAATGAGAAATAATTGATAAAAAATTTTCCGAAGGAAGATAAAAAAAAAAAAAAAAAAAAAAAAAGTAATCGTGTTTGCCTTAGATTAGAAGGATATAAGGTATAAAAATTAATTCCTCTCATAAAGGAGAAATGCTAAGTAATTTGATAATTCCTATAAGTTCTAATTTACTTGTGAATTTTGATTTAAATTTCTTTTAATTTTTTTTATAATTGTAAATATAAAGCTTTGAAATAATTGTAAGGGGAGAAATATATATATATATGTGTGTGTGTGTGTGTGTGTGTGTGTGTGTGTTTTTTTTTTTTCAATTATAACAATATATCTCATTTAAAGTGAAAGATAAAAAGAGCCCCACGTGGCACTTGAGTTGGCAGCCCCCACCAGAATTGTTGCAGGATAATTTCAACTAGAACTAAGAAACAAGAAATGACCGTTATGAATGGAGAAATGGTCGTTCCTTGGATGAAAAATGACTGTTCTTTGGATGGATCGGTTGTTCCTTGGATGAGGAATGGTCATTCCTCATAGAATGGCCATTCCATCTCCAAGGAACGGCCATTCCTCATGGAATAGCCATTCTTTCCTATAGAATGATCATTCCACCTAGAGGAACAACCATTCTATGATGGAATGGATAATATGATGAACGGTCGTTCATCCTTAAGGAACGATCGTTTATGTTTAGTCAAAACCGTGAGTTGACGTGATAATGTGAATTGCCACATCGGGTTTGTAAGAGAAAGTTTGTGAGATTCGTTTATACTCAAAATCATTTCCTTCATTTATGTCAAATCAATAAATTCAAACTTTAATTAGTTTTAGTTTTGGGAAAATGAGTACTTAAAAAAGAAATGCCAACATTTTGAAATTCTCTTTGAAAATTCAAAGAAATTGGATTGATATTTTAATTAAAAAAATATATTATTCTAATAACATCGATTTTCTTTTTAATTGCATTAATGATATTTTAAGAATAATAAAAATGAGTTACAATTCAATCTTATAAACTTTCTCTCACAACTCCGACGTGACAGTATGCAATTGGTCAACTTGCACTTTGACAAATGAGATCTATTTTTGAACAGACATGACCTATTACAAGCTGCTACGTCGGGATTGTGAGAAAAAGTTTGTGAGATTAGATTGTAAGTGTAATATAACACTTTAACAAATAACGAAATTATAAAATAAATATTGTTATTATTTTTTTTTTAATTTTCAATATCAGAGAAAAGTGTTCGAAAGAGTTCCACAAATCAAGTTAACACAAAAAATGGAAGGGTTTGTCACTGCAATAGATAAAGCCTTATTTTTCTTTGGTCAACATTTTGTAACAATATAGGTACCAACCTGGTGGAGATCGCATTGCAAGTGATAGGTATGGTGGTTCAGATCGCTATCCTCGTAATGGTTATGGCAAGGACAGAGAAATTGGGAAAGTGAGTGTACTTGAAAAAGAAATGCCAACTTTTTGAATTTCTCTTTGAAAATTCAGAGAAATTGGATTGATCTTTTAATTAATTTTCTTTTTAATTGCATTAATGATATTTTAAGAAACAATAAAAATGGATCATAATAAAATTTTACAAGCTTTCTTTCACAACTCCGACGTAACAATATGCAAGTGTTCAACTTGCAATTTGATAAACGAGATATATTTTTGGACAAACACGTCGAAATTATAAGAGAATATTTATGAGATTAGATTATAAGTACAATATAATAATATAGCATTTTAACAAATAATGAAATATATTTAATTATAAAATAAATATTAGTTTTTTTTTTTTTTTTTTAAATTTTCAATATTAGAGAAAAGTCTTCGAAAGAGTTCCACAAATCAAGTTAACACAACACATCTCGAAATTGTTCTTCTAACATGTGTTGTTGGGAGCCCCACGTGTTCTGTTGGCCTTCGCTTAAACGGTCGTTAACAGTTTGTTGGTTTCCTATGTGGAACCCACTTTACCTTCTTCCCTCCAATCCCACCGGAGATCCCTCCGAATCTTCCCCTCCTTCACATCCTCTCCTTCTCAATCCTCCCATTTTCACTTTGTACATATTAAATTGTCTCAACTCTTTGCTGTGTAGAACGCAAAAACAAAAACAGCTTGTAGTGGACTAGCTAAAAGATCCTTCAAATATTCTTATTATGTCTTCTTTTTGTGTACATAAAACCTGAAAATTGAAACACAAAAACAAGAGAACAGAAACAAAAATGAGATCTTTGAATTCGCGGTTTGTGCTTATAGACATTAACAGTTCATGGCACGCAGCCAACAAGATGATTCCAATCTCAACTATGAGTTACCTCAACACCTCAATCTCGTCGTCATTTCGTCGAACGCGTCGTGGCCGTAAAACAATCTTTTCTCAGAACTCACCACCGCCGTCGATTCAGTCACCGAGCTTCAGACGGCCGAGCGATCGGGTCGCGTCTAGAAATGGGTTGGTGGCGGATTCTCAAAACTCGGATTCGACTTCGAGGTCCGTGGGAGATAATGAGCTGGAGTTGTTTATTGAATTGTTGCCATTGAAAATGAGAAGGGGTTTGTGTATGCATAAGGATCTTGGTGAGTTGATTGAGGTGGTGATGGACTTGGGAAGAAAGCCTCTTGCTCGGTTCCCTTCTGGGGATTGGGTGATCTCAGAACAAGTTGTGAAGCATGAAGATTTAATGCATGCAATATCTAAGGTGATATAAATATAATTTAAATTGCATTTGATTGTATGAGTTCATAGTCATTGTGACAGATCATGTTATATAAGTAGAGTTACTTAACAGTTAACATAGTGGGAGAATTAAAATGAAATAGCTTTTGCCTATTCAAATAGTTTATTGAGTTTTGATTGTAGTAGGTTTTATTTGAAGCTATTTTGTTGTACCACAGAAAGTGGATGGTCAATTCTGTTTTGTATGTGATTGCAGTATTTTAATGTTTAAAAAGTGTTGTCCTGTTATAACGTGTAAAAAAATATTCAGATCTTATCCCTTTTAAGTGTTATGTGATGTAATTGCCTTTTTATATGTATATATTCTAAGTTATTGGAGAATGGTTAATCTTGGTCTTTCTTGTGATTGGATTTGCTGAGTAGGGAGTATTGATTGATACACATACACTATATAATATTTTGTCAGTAAGGACTGTTTGAAATCTGTATTCTGGTGCTGGAATTGGGATGTTTGTGGAAAGGTGGATTCATGTTAAGTTACTTGATCTTAGTAGGTTGGAGATTTCGCAGACGATAACCGCTCGGGTATTGATAGATCTTTACATCGAATAAGTGCAATTCGAAACCGTAAAATGCAAATCATTGGTCTCACTTGTCGGGTGGGTCGAGCAGTATCTGGAAGTGCTGAGATCCTGCGGGACTTGGTCGAAGGGGGAGGATCCATCTTGGTCATAGGTCCTCCCGGAGTTGGTAAAACAACCTTTATCAGGTATCAGATTTTGCATATTGTAAAATGAGCAACCAAACTAAGCTTCATGTTTGTAACTATTTATTGTCCAAAGCCAGTCCTTTTATTCCATAATCTATGAGCTTGTGATTCTGTATTTTGTGTTTGTTATTTGTTTGATGTCACATTTTTTAAGAGCTTAAAAGAATTTTCCCTCCTTTGGTTTAAAGGTTCTTGCTTGATTCTTTTTCAATTTTGAGAAGATGCATGCTTCATGGTCTTTTTCCAAAATATTCTATTGAAGTTTTGGACTATGAAGAAAGAACAAATGAGAAAATTGATGATAGTTTAATCATTCACCTGTTTTCATATTACACAGTGTTAATAAAGTTGAAGAGTCTTTATTTGAGCAGAGAAATAGCTAGAATGTTGGCAGATGAGCACATGAAGCGCGTTGTCATTGTAGATACATCAAATGAGATTGGAGGTGATGGAGATGTACCTCATGCAGGAATCGGTCGTGCAAGAAGGATGCAAGTTCCTAATGTTAATATGCAGCATAATGTGAGAGTTGAACTGGATTCTCAGAATTCCTTTCGCTACAATATTCATGTGGATTAGCCTCAGATGTTCTTTTTCATTAACTATTAATTCTAATAAGCTCTTGTTTCATTTCAGGTTATGATTGAAGCAGTTGAAAATCATATGCCTGAGACCATCATAATTGATGAAATAGGAACAGAGCTTGAAGCATTAGCTGCCAGCACTATTGCACAACGAGGAGTCCAGCTAGTTGGAACAGCACATGGAATGACTATAGAGAACATAATTAAGAATCCTTCTCTCCAGAACCTTGTTGGGGGCATAGAGGTGAAGGCACCCTTTCTCTTTCAATATAATTTTGCCTCCAACACATATATGTATTCATGTGGACTGTTGTATGTGTGTTTATTGATTACTTTTATCTAGTTAAATATAGTCTAGACAGATAGTGTCTTATATAAGTCTTTCTCTAATGGTAATATTTTGATTAATTAAATTTAGTTCTTAAAATAGAGTGTAACTCTTGGTGACGAGGAAGCAAAGAAAAGGAAAGTACAGAAGACAATTCTTGAAAGGAAAGGGCCTTCTACTTTTACATGTGCTGTTGAATTGATATCTAGGACTGAATGTCGTGTTCATCACAGATTAGATGCAACGGTAGATGCTATACTGGCAGGTATTTTTCATTTTCTTTCAAAACATTCTAGTGTAACAAGGGTCCATGTACTTATATTATAGTTGAAAATTAGGAAAACAGTTATATTATATATAAGCTTTTCCGGGTGATAGGGAAATCTCCTCTCTTTGAGGTTCGCAAAATGGATGCTGAAAATGATGATCCTCTGAAGTTTACTCCCATATTTAGAGAGAGCTATCTAGAAGAATCTGAACTGACTATAAATGAAGACAAAAGTTCTGAAGTGGAATCTGATGAAGAAGATGAAGATTATTCTCCGATTCACTTCAAGAAACAGAATGCTAAGAAATCTTTGATCAAGAGGAGCTTGCCAGTATGCGTCTATACATATAAGGTAAACTATTGAAGTTTCCATTTCGATTTATTCTTTTCCAAATTTACTCCACATAGCAGATAGTCAAGGTTAATTGTTGTAATATCTAAACTAAAATGTTATAAGTACTACAGTTGTTTTATAGTCAGTGATCTGAACTGAAAATATTATAACGCTGTATCTGTTACATTGAATGTGTTTTAGATCTTAGAAGCCGATCTACTACAAGTAGCAAAAGTAATGGGGCTAGAGGACGAGATTGATGTCACTGATGACATTGGAACAGCAGATGCAATTCTTGCATCCAGTACCGAAATGAAGCAGAACCCATGGATCCGTGGAGTTGCTAAATTCCACCAATTGCCAATATTTGTTATCAAGGTATCTCTCAATTTCCTCCCCAAATGGGACAAATGTAGTTAAGGAGATGGTTCTTAAAACCATGTGGCTATAATTATAAACTTCAGATGATGAAATGTGGCACCATGAATTATATTTTATTAAGCTCCAGATGCTATCCATAAGGTTGTGACAAGATCTTTTGGGGTTGTAAGAATGGTATTTATGTAGATTTGTTATATGATGAAAATGTTTTCTTCCTTCTCTTGCAGTCAAATGCCATGGCACAAATGGTCAAGGCAGTTCGTATGATTCTCGGGATGGAATCATTTGGCTCAAAATCAAAACAGACCCTCAAAGGTTCCTTTGACATTGAAATTGAAGATGATGCACCAAAAAGAAAACCCACCTTGGAAGAGATTGATGCCTTGGAGGTGCAACTCCTCTCTTCATTTGCATTTTGTTTTGAGTTACATTAATATACAAAAAGAAAAAGAATTTATTAAGCATATTTTCCACTGGATGGCCACGGCAAGACTCCAAAAGAGTATTTTGTTATATTCAGCTTGACATGGATATTCGTCGTATTGAATTCTCTCACTGTTTTTCTATAGGAGGTACGCCTAGCAATTGAATATATTGTAATTCCTGGAGGGGAGCCAGTGGAGCTTCTCCCACGACGCTCTGAAATAGTTGCGCGGCAGCTTGAGCTTGTGAAGAGCTATCATTTGGCCGCAGAAAATTCAGGTACAGAATTGAATCCTAGGTTGCAGATTCTTCCACTGAGATTAAACAAGAAGTTTTCTTCTAAATCTTCCAAATCTGGTTCAACTTTACAAAAGGAAACATCCCAAAAATCACTAACCAGCAGTGATGGAGGTACCAGTGTCACCAGGCTGCCACTCTTGCCTGAATAATTCAACCATCTCTTCAAATGCAACATATGTCAATCTTTTGGTTGATACATACACCGATTCATGTACATAATGTAATTATTTAACCTTGTGAAATACTGTGATAACAATTTGTTGTCATTTCGTCTCCATTTTAAGGAATGAAAACTTTAACACAAGTGTTCACTCTTAAAAAAAAGAAAAAAAAAAAAAAAATGTCAGCTTTGTAGTTTTTCTTACAAGAATATTATGCCATTTTATACACAGATCTTTAATAAATATAAGGAGATTATCGGTTGGGGTACAAAGTTTCCGCAAACAGAAGTTTCAAATCATTCCATTAAGCAACAATTAAGGGTGCGTTTGGTTCAAGGAATGTTAGATTACTGGAATTTTATATTATCTTAAAGATTATTAAGAATCTTTAAGAAAATCTGTTTGGTTAGTTAGAATAATTTGGTAGGTATGTTATATTAATATGGTTGGTTAGGAGGAATAAATTGGTTAGTATGTTATTTAAATTACTAAATTGCCCTCTTTTTAAATATTAATATAATATTATTTTTATTATTAATTTTTAAATAATTTCTTTTAACCCTCAATATTTCAAATTTAGCTAAAACACCCCTGCTTATATAAAACTTTAATTTATAACAAACTCACCCCCACCACCCTGCCGCCTCCTGCTGCCATCGCAAACCACCGTGAGAAGTCGCTGTGAGCAGCCCACTGTGACTGGGAGGCCCCAATATGGCCGTTTTTGGCCATATTGGTAGCCGAAAAGGCCATATCGGGAGTAGATCTGGTCGGAAATGGCCAGATCTATTCTAGCCTTTTCCAGCCAGATTGATGGGTCTGACTGTTAACAGCCAGACCCTTGGCCTTTATCGGCCAGATCTGGGCGAGATATGGCCGTTAACGACCATGGATCTGGCCATTAACGGGTAGATCTCGCCTAGATCTGGCCACTAAAGGCTAAGGGTGTGGCCGTTAACGACCAGATCTACTCTTGATATGGCCTTTTCGGCCATCAATATGGCCAAAAACTGACATATCGGGGCCTCTCGGTCACGGTGGGCTGCTCACGACAACTCCAGGTGACTTCCTACAGCGGCTGGTGGTGGCTTGGCTGGCGGCAGCAGGTGGGTGGGGGTGGTGGCTTGGGTAGGCTTAAATTTGTTTTGATTTCAAGGGTAATTTTGTCCAAAAAGTTAATTAATTGAGGTGAAATGGTAAAAGCAAGATTCATGTAAATAAATTTAAAAATAAGGGCATTATTGTCCTAAAATTTTATTTATAAGGGATAAAATTGTAACAAAAAAAAAGATTACCCAAGTAATTTTACAATACCTAAGAAAATGGAGATAATCAGATTATCTCCAATATTATCAACAATAACTACTATCGGTATTTGACGATTACTAGAATCTTATATTGCTTGACAACTAAACATGGTAATCAAGTAATATAAGATGACTTAACCATAGTAATCTCACATAGCCCCCAACCAAATGCCCCCTAACTGTTATTTTGTGTTAACTTTGACAAAATAAAAAAAGATAAAAAGACGTAAATGCCCTCGAATGTTAGGTTTTTTAATTTATATAAATTTAGTTTTTGAATTTTAATCTTACAAAGATCTTCACACAAAATAATGTGATAATTAATGAATGGAATAGTGAATATAATGAGTTTGATTTTTTGTTTCACTCTTTTATTCATATTTTGCCATCTCACTTTGTATAATTTTTTTTGTAAGATTTTTTTATAAGTATAGTATTATTGTTTTAATTTTAAGAAGAAAAAAAAAACCATTTCCAAAAAAATGTTGAAAATGAAGATATTGGTTTGAATTTTAAAACTAAATTTTGTTTTTTTCATCTTTCCTCTAAGTTTAATATATTTTAAAACAATAACACTACGGACACCGAAATATTAGCACCGAATTTCTGTACCGGCCTACATGTAACGCGTCTTTCCATTTTTTTACAATTTTTTTCTAGTGAACGGCCGTCCATCAAATTTGGACGGTCGTTCACTCACATGGACGCCCGTCCATATTATATGGACGAGCATCCATATTCGAGGGACGGGCGTCCATATAATATGGACGCCCGTCCCTATTAAAATAAAATTAAAAAATTTATAAAACCTTAGGGACGGCCGTCCATTAATTTTGGACAGGCGTCCACAAATAATGGACGCCCGTCCTTCACCCACATATGAAGAAAAAAAAAATTATTTGGGGACGGCCGTCCACCATTGTGGACGGCCGTCCCTTAATTTTGGACGGGTGTCCGCAATAAAGGGACGCTCGTCCATACTTTAAAAAAATAAAAAAAAAAATTTGTAAACTTTTTCGTCTTCATTCCCTATCTCCTCTCTTTTTCTTCTGTCTTCATTCCCTATTACCTCTCTTCTTCTTGTCCACTTTACGCTTCCAGCAGATAATCCATAACATGAAAGCAATCATCAACATTAACTACAGATTATATAGGCACACTCTGTCAACTACAAAATTTGCAATCTTTATACAAACGGTTTTGCCATTATTATGTCATTGTCTCATTGTCTGTTTTAAGAAAAGAAAGATTTTTGTTTAAAAAAGAAAGAAATGGGCTGTTCGCCCAAATGAAGAAGAAGGAGACGAGAGCAGAGGGAGAAAACGAGAGCAGAGCAGAAAAAAAAAAAAAAAAAAGAGAAAGAAAAAAGAGAAAACGAGAGGAGAAGAGAAGAAAGGAAAAAAAGGAAGAAAAGAGAGGCAAAGGAGAGAAAGAAGAGAAATGAGAGTAAAGAAGAAGAGTGGAGACCGAGAGGTAAAGTGAGAGAGGAGTAGTGAGAGTGTAGTGCATGCATGGGGTTAGGAAGCTTTTTCTTTAATCAAACACCCACTCTCACAACAAAGAAGAAACAATTAAAGAAAAAGCTTCCTAACCCCATGCATGCACTACACTCTCACTACTCCTCTCTCACTTTACCTCTCGGTCTCCACTCTTCTTCTTTACTCTCCTTTCTCTTCTTTCTCTCCTTTGCCTCTCTTTTTCCTTTCTTCTCTTCTCCTCTCGTTTTCTCTTTTTTCTTTCTCTTTTTTTTTTTTCTTTTTCTGCTCTACTCTCGTTTTCTCCCTCTGCTCTCGTCTCCTTCTTCTTCATTTGGGCGAACAGCCCATTTCTTTCTTTTTTAAACAAAAATCTTTCTTTTCTTAAAACAGACAATGAGACAATGACATAATAATGGCAAAACCGTTTGTATAAAGATTGCAAATTTTGCAATTGACAGAGTGTGCCTATATAATCTGCAGTTAATGTTGATCATTGCTTTCATGTTATGGATTATCTGCTGGAAGCGTAAAGTGGACAAGAAGAAGAGAGGTAATAGGGAATGAAGACAGAAGAAAAAGAGAGGAAATGGGGAATGAAGACGAAAAAGTTTACAATTTTTTTTTTCTTTTTTTTTAAGTATGGACAGGCGTCCCCAAATAAATTTTTTTTTTCTTCATATGTGGGTGAAGGACTGGCGTCCATTATTTGTGGACGCCCGTCCAAAATTAATGCATTATGGACGGCCGTCCCTAAGGTTTTATAAATTTTTTAATTTTATTTTAATAGGGACGGGCGTCCATATTATATGGACGTCTGTCCCTCAAATATGGACGAATATGGACGTCTGTCCCTCAAATATGGACGCTCGTCCATATAATATGGACGGGCGTCCATGTGAGTGAACGGCCGTCCAAATTTGATGGACGACCGTTCACTAGAAAAAAAATTGTAAAAAAATGGAAAGACGCGTTACATGTAGGCCGGTACAGAAATTCGGTACTAATATTTCGGTGTCCGTAGTGTTATTGATTTTAAAAAGAGTAAACGACATGTTCCCACTTGTTATGCCTAAAAAATATAAGGGCTGACGTAAGGTCAAGTTAGCCTACAAGAGTCAGATCATGGGTACAACCACAGCCTGATTCTGTCAGAATAGTGGGTGCACGTCAGGCCAGCCAGAAGCTGTAGTGATCCCACATGTCCAATCCCTGCTCTAAATCGCGCAAATCACTCTGGAAGGTGGGCAATGTGACATAAAGAAGGATTTGCACGGATAATCCAGCCAACTTACAGATTTAGTGATCATTGTCTCAATGCATCCCACTATAAATTGGGAGCTCCTCTCTCATTAAGGGGATTCGCATATTTTTACACTTGATTAACTACTCTCTCTCTCTCTCTCTCTAGAATTCTTAGCATTTGATACCTTGTAAAGTCAGTCAGCTAAAAACAACCTAACCCTTATCATCAATATAAGCATCAGTGGACGTAGGACTTGCTACCTTAGCATCTGAACCACTTTAAAAACTGTCCCCATTGCATTTACTATCATTTTCCTTTGCATGCATATGTGTCTTTTGGGCCAGCTCAACATTTCACACGTGTGTTTCGTTGGTGTAAAAATCACGCATCAACAGTTTGGTGCTAGAAGGAGGGCCTGATTTAGTGTTCATCCTTCATCAGGAGAATCTCCAACTTACCGGTCCTACAACAACAAATGGCCCACCAACCAGAACCTGAGCAAACCAACCAGGGCGCTGAGGGGCTCCCCCAAGTTCAGGGGGACACTTCTTCCAAAAAAACTTTAGCCTCGCAAAATGCTGCAGGAGATATCCCGTCAAGTTCACAGCTTGACCCCGCTATAAGAAGCTGCCTAGAGAGGTTTGACAATACTCTCTAGATGGTCAATCGAAGGTTGGACCGTTTGGACCAAGGCATGCCATCCAAATCAGCTGAGTGTAACCGCCAAAAACGCCTACAAGTCGCATGAAAGTGCGGCGAAGGGAAATAGCCCGTGCCACAAGCACTGTAGCGTGTAGACGAAAGGGTAAGGAAGTGGCAAAAAACAAGCCCACGGGCTCCAAAGGGCCAGCAAACACTAACCACGTCCCAAATAGAATAATAGTCTCGTTAAGACTCGGTGAAAAGATGCAGCCCAAGCTGTCTCATGCCATGTCGCAAGTACACATCCATAAAAGTGCTAGACGGGGCGATTCTTATCACCGCCAGCAAAACAATCCTAATCGTCACCATGCGAGAGGGTCCACACTTCGCAGGGCGGTTCTTACCATCGGGAAGGTCGTGAAAATACCCTACACCTTTTGTCACCATCGCACGTCTCTAGCTAGCATGTGTTG